AATTTCCATTAAGTTTATTTGATATTTAGTTTTATAAACAAATGTAACACATGTTTATGGACAAATTTTATACAACTGATGTAACAACGGTTGTAAAACAAGTCGTAGCAACACCTTCAAGATATAGACGATGATGGCTCTCCACAATTTTCTTTTTTTCATTCTTTGTGAATCATAACATATTAGGAAAGATAGTGAAGAGGTTTACCTTTCCTTTCTGCGCAACTTGGAATACAGAGTTGTACTTTCCTAAATTGATCGACATTCAAGGTTAGAAACTCGCTCTATCAAAGATAAATTGAGACTAGATTTTCGATATGTGAAAAAAAATATATATTAATATCTGAACTCAAATAAACGGCATCCGAAACAGGGGTATGTGGTTTCAAGGATTTCTTCGAAAGTTTTATTATTTTCTTGTGAGCATGTGAGGTTGTCTTGTGTGTATATCCTTAAGTTCATCTGGTTTCACGTCTTTGTTTTGTCCTGGGTAAACTACGTCCAGCAGCAAGGCCTCTGATCAGGAGATTTTGAGTATCTTGGAACCATCTCTTAATTGCTGGTGTTCCCAGGTCCACCCTAAACGAGGTGGTAGCACCTGTTAGGGTCCTAGTTATAGGCAAATAGTTAACCCCGAAACTGAGGTAAAAAGCATCATGAAAGTGTAAAAATAGGTTTTAGTACCAGAAATAAATTTTTGAAGAAAAAAAACTCTTACCAGCAATTCGTTTTTGAAAAAAAAAATTAGCAGCAATGCATTTTTTTACAATAATATTACCAGGAAAAAAAGTTGTCGGCATTAGATGACCTATTGAGGTTGATATGTCGCAAAACAAAAGAAGCCAAACCAAACCAAACCAAACCAAACCAAACCCAATATGCATGGCAAGAGAAATTTACAATGAAACATATACTGTTAGAGTTTGTAGATTTTGATCTAGTACAAGCAAAATATTACCAAGTGAGTCATTTAAAAAAAAAAAAACCTTTTACGAAAATAAAACCATCCAAGATTGTAAATTTCGTAAGAAAAGTTGGATTGTACTTAAATATATGAGTAATTGAAAAATGGTTCAAATATATATATATATATATATATATATATATATATATATATATATATATATACCTTTTTTACCAAACTATCGCTATGAATCTATTTCATAAATTTTGGTGGCATTGAATGACCCACTGAGGTTTTGATATGCCATAAAACAAAACAACGAACAACCAACCACATCTTTGTTTATGTTGGCGCACCTAGCGACATCCCGCGAGGCCAGATTCTGTACTCGGGCACGGAAGTCTTTTGATGTTCTGAGGTGACACCGAGTACAAAACTCACTTTGATATCTCTTAGGGTGAACCCATTACAATTTGGGGTTACCGCAGTTCATTCTTTTTAGGTCACTACTACTGATGAGGCTCGGATTGAGGAATCGGAGAGCCGAGTTCGAATCCCCGTCGAATGCATTACTTTCACTTACGTGCTAATACCCTTGGGAAAGGTATGATTCCCCCTCTTCTTCTCCCCCCAGCTATGGGTAAATAGCAGGACAGACCGGGTTCTATAACCTTGGATGGCAACTGGTTTACCGCAGAAAGAAATGGCAACCTACTGTGGCAAAAAAATCTGCTTCGTCAGTCATGTATCGACAGATACATGATTGCCTAAGCGTATATCAGGCATGGCAAATAACTGACTGACTGAGTTCTTGGGTTTCATTAATATGTTCCTAACCCAATACAATTGAGATCATCTTTTAGCTAAACCCTCCGGACACGGAAATCTTTTGATGTTCTGAGGTGACACCGAGTATAAAACTTTTTCTGATATCTCTTAGGGTGAACCCATTACATATTGGGGTTACTGCAGGTCACTTTTTTTGGTCACTACCACTGATGGACATTAAATTTCATTCAGTCCTCTGATAAATCCTGGCATGGATCGCATACTACATGTTATTTAATATATCGCTGGGAGGTGAGAAAAGAAATGGCTCCACGCCTTTTCCGACTGTTAGACGAAGCTAGAATTTGAAAATTGCTCGCTGATTTTTACTTTTGTGCGTTGAAACCTTTAAGCTATTATTGTTTCTAATTTGACTTTGATACTGTGATATGTAAACAGTTTCAGTCAACATATTTTCATTAGCAGCGCATTTAATCTCCAACAAGTATAAATAAGCCAGCTTCTTTTAATCCCATCAAAATTTTTTTCAAATTTACTATATTTATTTTTGTTAATCTATGAGACTTAAGAGACATGATAAGATATAGAAGAATTGTTCTGTTAATTCGTTTCGGTTTAATTTCATAATCTTGTTTAATCCTATAATCCTGCCAAACAGTTTGCGCTGTTTTCACTCTGGAACTATGATGGTCGGATTGCAGTGCCTAAATACACGTACACACATATCTATATAGGCAATACATTAATAAAAGTTAAATAGGTATATCTTTCGATCGATTCCAAAGCTTCCCGGACAACGCCGCTCATCAGAGTCAGAGGGTCAAATAAATCGATTTTATTATTACCGGATAGATTTAAACTCGACGTAAGAAACGCTAATCATAGCCGCTGGACAAATTCTAAATTTGCGTGAAGAAATATGTTCTGACCCTTTCATAATTTGTGCAAACCTTGCTGTTAGTAGTTTTTTTGCATGCGAGCCTTTAAATATATTTCCCAATTATTATGTTAATATGTAGTAATTCTTGGGATGGGGGATCAGTTTATTACTTTAAAATAATAGAAAACAGATCCCCCACTTTATGTCCATTAGAATCTTATCTTCCTCCTCGTTGACCCATGCCATCAAGATGATGTCATATTTTGTTAAGTCTTTATTATTAGCTTTTCACATGTGAGCATTTCAATATATTTTCCAAATATTATATTGATATATAGTAATTCTTGGGAGGATCAGTTTATTACTTTAAAATAATAAAAAGCAAATCTCCCACTTTATGTTCATTAAAATCTTATCTTCATACTCGTTGACTCATGACATCAAGATGATGCCATATTTACAATTATTATATTCATATGTAGTAAGTTTTGGGGGTATCAGTTTATTACTTTAAAATAAGAGAAAACAGATCCCTCACTTTATGTCTATTAGACTCTTCATACTCGTTGACCCATGCCATCAATATGATGCCATATTTTGTTAAGTCTTTATTATTATTAGCTTTTCACATGTGAGCATTTCAATATATTTTTCCAATTATTATATTAATATGTTAATTGTTTGTGGGGATTAATATGTAGTAATACTTAGGGTGATCAGTTTTATTACTTTAAAACACTAGAAAAGCGATTTCCCACTTTATGTCCATTAAAATCTTATCTTGTTGACCCATGCCTTCAAGATGATGCCATATTTTGTTAAGTCTTTACTATTATTAGCTTTTCACATGTGAGCCTTTCAACATATTTTACCCAATTATTATATTAATATACAGTAATTATTTGGGGGATCAGTTTATTACTTTAAAATAATAGAAAACCGATCCCCAATTTATATTGATATTTTCATAAATTCAAATTATTAAGATTTCACCTGTAAGTTGAATACGATATATATATATATATATATATATATATATATATATATATATATATATATATATATATTATGAATAAAAATGACAATAGGAAAACTGGTAATTGCTGACGCGTTTCGTCCAATGTGGACTTTATCAAAGCAAAATACGAAACATCATATATATATATATATATATATATATATATATATATATATATATATATATATTATAATTCATATATATATATATATTATAATACATATATATATATATATATTATATATATATATATATATATATTATATATATATATATATATATATATATATATTATAATTCATATATATATATATATATATTATAATACATATATATATATATATTATATATATATATATATATATTATATTATATATATATATATATATATATATATATATATATATTATATATATATATATATATATATATATATATATATATATATATATATATATATATACAATATTATCATATTGTCATTCAGCTTGTTCCTCCACAAGTTCGTGTGTTAGTTATTACCCCAGATAAATAATGGATTATTCCGTTTTGGTTGCGTGAATAGAAGGTAGATAATAATAAAAAGAAAAAAAGACAGAAAAAAGGAAGGAAAGAGAGATTGATTGATTCGTATTTACGGATTATCAACCCTTTGCAAGTTGTTTAAATCCAGAAAATAAGAATTTTGGGGTAGATAATAATGATTTACTGTTACAGGTCATGCTAATTAACCCATTGCTTATGAGAGAAAAGGATTTACACCTTTCCCCAGAGTATTTGAGCGTAAGTGAATATAACAGACCTGACTAGAATTGGAACTCGGTATTCCGATTACCAATTCCGAGCCGTTATTCATTACACCACCTACACATCTGGTTTAAAGCACCTGGTATTCCCATGCGGTTACCCATGTAGATTCAACGTTGCTTAACTTCGATGATCCTACGTGAACTGGAGTTTTAACGTGATATAGCCGTAAGCATTATTTAAAGGGAGGCATTTCTTGGGAGAATAATAACATAGTGATACAACTCTTACTAATTAACCCATAGTTGGGGAGATATGTGGATTGGTACCTTTCCCCAAGCGTATTTGCGCGTAAGTGAATATAACGGATTGGGCTAGAATTGGAACTCGTTTCGCCGGCTAACAATTCCGAGCCGTTATTCATTACACCACCTGCACATCCAAGTTTACAGCACGCGGTATTTCCGAACGGTCACCAATCAATGTTCTGACCAAGCTCGACGATGCCTAACGCATGTCCAAGCTTACAGTACCTGCTAGTATCCCCAAGCGATTACCCATCGATGTTGCTTAACTTTGGTCATCGTACGGGAACTGGTGTTTTAATGTTATATTACCGTAAGCCCATTACACCACCCGCACATCTAAGCTTACTGTACCTGCTGGTCCCCCCAAGCGGTCACCCATCTAGGTACTGACCAGGCTCGATGTTGCTTAACTTCGGTCATAGTACGGGATCTGGTGTTTCAAAGGGAAAGATCGACGAGATAATAACGCTTTCATGTGTTTTAATATCTGCTAAAGTAAAATGGGAAGACATGACAATTTTGAACCTTTTTATTTGTACCCTCTTACTTCTTAGAATAAGGACCTGCATTCATACTTGTGACTTTTACAGCGATATTTTGTTAAAGTTATTAAGCTCAAATATTCTTCAATGTGAATATTTTTTTATAGAACTCGAAAGGAGTTCTATAAATTAACTTAAGAATAATGATTTTTCCAAAAATTCAAATAGGAAAACCGTGAAATTTTCTCGGGTGGTGGGGGTTCCTTGTTATTTACTGATATTTGTCTGGCAATGTTTAATCTATCTATTCATGTTAATATTTAAAGCAGTCAAAAGTCAGACAGAACGAAAGTGGGTGATTCCTTACAGTTTACATAGAAATGGAATTGAAGTGACGTCTCTATTTTAAAAAAATGTATTTATTTTTTCTTTATATCGATCCAGGTGTATTAATCCGTATGTCAACATGTTCCGTCTTAAACCTTTCTGTTTAATTAGAACCTCATCGGTCTTCTTAGTGGAAAGAGATTGGAGGCGATGTGTGGGGGGAGATTACGGAAAGCATTCGCAGAACTCCGAGGTAAAATGCTCGTCAGACGGAGCGCATGCGTGGAATGTGTCTGTGTCAAAGTGTTCCTCCATCTTCTGTCTCACCTCCGATTTAACACAGCGTTCATTCGTTCGTTCTTTAATTCTTTTCTTCCTTCCATCGCAGAAATCCTTGCATGAAGAATTTCCCAAGATTCCTTTGTCTTTTTCCTTTTGTGATTTCTTTTATTTTTCCAGTGTCAGACTGTTACAAAGAAAGTAGATATCTTTTCTTTCTTTTTTTTAGCTTTTACATTTTTTTTTTTTTTTTTTCTAAATCTCAACATTGTATATTTAATATATAGACTTTATAGATATTTTCGAATTTAGCATTCAAAATCATTTCTAGATTACAAATACTGGATTATCTCCCTTAGATTACTTTACCTCGTCTCATATTCTGACAACATTAACAAGAAAAACATCCATGCATTTTTTTTTTCACGGAGATTAAAGATATTGTTAATTTCGGACGCTATGTTTAGTTTTAATTTTGCAGCATCTCCCAGCTATAGGTTAAATACTAGGAGTTGCATCTGGAAAAATCATTATTTTCTCTTCCCCCCACCCTGCAAATCGTAAATGCAATATTCACTCGCAAAAATAAATTTCTACAATCTAAATTATGTTTTGGTATTAAATAGCTCGCAAAGTGTTGATAAGCCGTAAAAAACACATCCAAAGAGTTAGGTCTGAATTTATTTTAATTATTTAATCTCATTTTATAAATTCACTAAGTCTGAATTATATTTCATTATTAAAAGAAAAAAATACTGTGTGAGGTGAGAAAAAAGAATTAAGGAGAGTAATTCAGTAGCCGGTATGAAGCTGTGATCGAATCATGCTGAAAACAACGGTTCCTGTTTGATCACCGAAGTTAAGCAATGTCGAGCCGGGTCAGTACTGAGATGGGGATCCGCTTGGAAACACCGAGTACTTGAAGCAACCTTCTAGAATCTGAAATATGTTTCGGCTTGAAATAACTGTTAAAGGGCTGATAAATCGTAAAATACACAATAAATCAATATTTGGCATTTAGAATTCCTTTTGGACGTTAAACTCGACTTTTAAGTAGCATTTCTCTCATTTTCAGTGAAAATTATTCATTTGTAATTAATCAATAATTTATTATTGGTTGATTTTATTCATATTTCGATGTTTATTCCCATCAGCCTTAGTAAAATACCGGCCACGTTTCTTATTTGTTAAACAGAGATCCCCAATCAGCACAATTAGAAAAGTCAACCAAAACATTTCGAAAACCGAGATTTCTGTATTAAAATCAATAACAAAGCATTTACATTATGCTTTTTTTTAAGCATTTCACCCCAAGCAAGGCGGGAGTGTGTTATGGTGTAGTTTCACAGTGAAGCCTTGTATTTGTACTAAGTCGGTCTTAAAATAGGTTCGACGTACAAAACGTTAGGAACTTGATATAATAGGTAATGACGCAGAGAAATCTAACGGTCGTCCGGCATCGACTGACTGAACAACACACTGGGCGACTTCCCGACTGACTCGTTACTTATTATAGGTGGGAGAGTCTATTAACTATAGAATAGGTGTGTTCCACTATAACAGAGTGCCACTAGCATACAGAGGGTTACAGAGAGTGAAAATAAGAGAAAAGGGGAATATCTGAAGAAAGGATAATGGGAAGGACGGGGGATCAAAATCAAAGCATTATAAGATGTCGATTGACATTACATTTGAATATTTAAAGATTATAGCGAGCAGGGAAGCAAGTAACAGGAAGGGAGTTCCACTGATGGGAAGTGCGAGAGAAGAATTTTTTTTTTCTCCCACTTCTCACTTCCGATTACTTGCAAGCCTACAATCTTCAAAAATTTAAATGCAACATCTATCGCAATCATATGTCTTTCTGCGACATGTTCTTTTATTGTCCTTTCTCCTCAATAAAGTCTTCTTATTCTTTGTCACACTTAGTAACTTCTTCGTCTTAGCGGCATTATTATTGCTTGAGAGTGAAATGACAAAAGAAAATTAATGTTTGTGACAACTGTACCTTGAGCAAGTCGATGGAATCCATTTTGAAAACCATAATATTTCATTTCGTATCTCTGTGTTTCCTGTCGGTGTAGCAATAAAAATCTCTCCCAATTTCTTATTGCCCTTTCATTCACAATCTTAAAAACATTAAATGTAACGTCAATCGCAATTTTGTCTTCCCAAATCCATTCTTTTTATTGTCCTTTCGCCTCATTAAAGTCTTCTAATTCTCTTTCAATCCATTGCTCTGCTCGAAACGATTAAAAATAAAGAACTATATTGTCCTAATTTTGAGGTTATTACGATGTCTAAAAGATTGATCTTCCGTTTTCCGTTTCTCAATATCGTAAATGTTTGAATTAAGTTTTGGTTAAGGAGAGGAACATTGCATTTTAATGCCGAGAAACATTTAATGAGAAATTCACACCTGTTGCGTAAATCCACACGCTTCCACCCAGAAAGTATAATGACATTGTCGTCCTTAAGGAAAGAGGATTAAACATTTGCAACGGATTAGAAAACTAGACCGTAGTCTGCATTCGTGTCTGTCTCATCTCTTCGTCAGATTAATCCTTATCAAGATATCTTCCTTTATCCATGAGGTGCACAATAACCCTGTTAAGATAATAGGTGATGAATCAGAGATGTTTATAAGTGTGACATGCACACCTCTTGAAGGTTTGATTTTAATGTTAAACTGTTGGAGCTGTTAGGTAAGCTTGATATATTTTGGAAGGATATTAGAGTAGCCCTGAACTTATATTGGGAGCAAACCGCCCACATCAAGATATAAAATGAATTCAGTAAATATACAAATATAGAAAAATTCGTAAGACAAGGATACGTCGTCTCACCGGACTTATTTCAATCTATACAGTGAGGATATTCTGAGAGAATTAGAAGTCCCACCGGGCAGCCATAATCTTAATAACATCAGATATGCAGACGACAGCGTTAACAGCAGACACAAACAAGAAAATACGAAAAATAAATAAATGCAATTAGTTAATAATAACGCGTATCTACAGTTTTCTTTTAGAAATGGTGTATGGGATGTTTTAGATGATTTTTTAATAAATTTAAGGCTGAGATATAAAATGAATTAAATAAATATACAAAAATTGAAAGCGGCCTAAGACAAGGATGAGTCGTCTCACCGGACTTATTAGAAGTCCCACCGGGCGGCCATAATCTTAATAACATCAGATATGCAGATGACAGTGTTAACAGCAGATACAAACAAGAAAATGCGGGAATTCCTAACCTACAGAATGAAAGAAGAAAGGACTAAACCCCAATTTCAAGAAGAAAGAATTTATGGGTGTCTGCAAAAGGAATAGATAAGGAACAAATAAGAAATTGTAAATACCAAAAGCAAACAAGTAAAACAGTTTAAATAGCTAGGAAGTGTTTTAACAGATGACAGAAAGGGAAACACCAAAATCTGAAGGTGTATGCCGCTTGCATACAAATAGAAAATGGATTCAATAAACATTCAAAACTAGAAAGAGGCATAAGACAAGGATGCTCACCGGGTTATTTAAACTTTACAGTGAATTAGAATTCATACCAGGATCCATTATTGGCGGTTACAATCTTAAAAGCATTAGTGGATACCACAGCCTTGATAGAAGACAGAAAAGAAAATATAAGAACCCCTATAAAAGGTAGTGAAGGAAAGCAAGAAGAAAGGACTAAACCTTATTTGCAAGAAGATAGAATGCATGACTGTTAGCAAAAGGGACAGGCCAACACGCGAATTACAAATTGGGAAAACCAATATTAAACAAATACAATCATTAAAATATCTATGAAGTGTTTTAAAGGAGGCCAGAACATGTGACACTGAAATCCGAAAGCGGGTTGGGCTAGCGAAAAACATTACTGACAATGATGTCTTCCTCTAGCTAATATTTTACAATTATGTCGGTGGTATTTCTGGTAAGTATATATAGGAGGTATTTCTACCAACCTATAGAATGGAGTGTAAGACAAGAATGTGTCTTCTTACCGGACTTATTCAACGTATACAATGAGATAATTCCAAGAAAATTAGAAGTCCCATCAGAATTCATTATTGGCGACCACAATCTTAACAAAATATGATATACAGATGACACATCTATCTATCTATCTATCTATCTATCTATCTATCTATCCTGAAGCCACTATGAAAATGTAATGTCAATCGTTATCCTGTGTCTTCTTAATACCTGTTCTTTTATTGTCCTCACTCCTTAATAATAGCTTTTCTCATATTCTTTAACACTTAGTAACACCTTACGTCTTAGTGGCTTTATAGACTTTGATCTTCAAAAATTTAAATGCAATGTCAATCGTTATCTTCTGTCTTCCTAATTCTTGTTCTTTTATTGTCCCCTCTCTCGATAATAGTAGTTTTTTCTCATATTCTCCAACTCGGTACCTTCTTGCGTCCTAGCGGCTTTATTGCCTTGCTTGGGAGGAGAAACAATCATTCATTCGCATACAACCGTTTGCTCACATCAGTAGGTAAAGATGGCATTAAGCAATGAACCCTGTAAGACGGAATGCATGGTTGTCAGCAAAAGGGGACATGCGAATTACAAATCGGGGATACCAAAATCAAACAAATACAACCATTTAAACATCTATGAAGTGTTTTAACAAAGGACAGAAAGCGCCACACCAAAATCCGAAGGTGCTTTGGAATAGCGAAAGATGTCTTCCAAAAGCTAAGGAAAGTATTAAGAAATAAAAAATAAGGAAAAGTATTGAAATGTTATGTAATATTCACCCTCGTATATGGCAATGAATGTTGAACAATCTTATCAGAGATGAAAGCAGAAAACAAACCTGGTTCTACAGAAGGATGATGAGAATAACATGAACTGAACATGTGAGCAAAAACGAAGCTCTAGAGACAATGGAAGCAAAAGGTGTACTTATATTTAAATTCAGAAATTTCTAGGGCACCTCATGAGGAAACAGAGCTTGGAAAATTTGACACACACAGGGCTTATTGAAGACAAGAAGGACAAAAGGAAACAACGCATACCTACCTAGTGGGCTTGTGTAAATGGTTGGCAGAACAGGAATTAGAAGAGATAGCGAAACACAGGAAATTACGAAATTTCTCGATCATTAAGGCCGGTAAATGTAATTAATACAGTTTAATTAAAAAGAGCTTTTACTTAAATAAATTATATCTACAAAAATAGCGTATGAACAGAAAATATATTAAACATATACATTTTTTATGTTTATGCGTTATTTTTACGCATACAAATATTTAAGTAAATGCTCTGTTTATAATAAACAGTATTAACAACATTTACCAACCTGAATGTCCAAGAAATTTCATAGAAAATATGTGTCTTCCGGCAGGAATTGAATCTGTATCTTACACGGAACCGTCATATAACCTGACGTGCTATACTATTTAATTACAGAGGAAGCGTCAGGATGGCAAGATTGAATTACTGCTTTTAAACTACAAATTTCTCATGATTTCTCTCGTACGCTGATATCTGCTCGAACCTTATCAACGTAAACAATTGACATCATATATTATGAGATGGACTAAGTCTGACAATTATTTTAATATATATTTCTGTTTATTTATTTTATTTTTATAGATACAAATATTTAAGTATTTTCTATGCAAATTTCTCGGACATTCAGGCCGGTAAATGTTGTTAATACTGTTTATTATAAACAGAGCATTTACTTATATATTTGTATCTATAAAAAGAACGTATAAACAATAGATATGTTAAAATAATTGTCGGACTTAGTCCATTTCGTAATATGTATATTTAAACAAAAATATATTCATGCTTTTGGATAGTATCAAATGGCGTTACGTTATGAAATGGACAAAGTCCGACAATTATTTTTTAAAGACATTTTTTTATGTTTATACGTTCTTTTTATAGAGACAAATATTTAAGTAAATGCTCTGTTTATAATAAACAGTATTAATGACATTTACCGTAAAGCACGTCAGGCTATATAACGGTTCCGTATAGGACACAGGCTCGATTCCTGTCGGAGGACGCATAATTTCTATGAAAATTTCTCGGAATTCAAGCCGGTAAATGTTAATACTGTTTATTATAAACAGAGCATTTACTGAAATATTTGTATTTATAAAAAGAACGTATAAACATAAAAAAATGTCTTAAAAAAATAATAATATCATATATTTGATTGCGCTTTATATGAATAGTTGCTTTAATTGTTGTTTAAAGGTTACTTTAGCTGCATATTTTTTATTTATTTATTTTTTTGTTAATTTCCTTTAGTTTTTCGCATGGGCAGAACTAGTTCGAGTTAATAAAGAACTTCTTTTAGCCGCCCCCTAAGTACCATCACTGGCTAAGGGGGAAGATACAGGTGGCTTTAGTTTATGATCGGTTGACTCTGATGCGCCCGTTGGCAAAGCGGCCAGAACGAAAGCCAAAAGAAAAAAAAAATTGCAAATGGCGACCGAATTCTCCCAAATGTCGACGTCAGGCTATATGGCGCGTGTTGTTGTCGTCTGCAATGTTTCAGTCGGCGCCCAAACGCTACTGATTTCATCTACATATCTTATAGAAAAAAGAATGATTTGTCTTTCAATTTGTCACGTACATCGCCGCAAAAACTAACATTTAAACCCAGTAGCGGACAGGCCCGGGTGTCAGCTTGGTAGATGGCGAATGGGTTCCTGGTGGAGTGAAACCCCTATATTAAATAAAAATGCTAGAAAAAAAAAAAAAAAAAAAAACACAGACAAATATTTTAATAATAAAAGGGAATAAGAACTTTATAAAGTCATCTGCACACTATCAGTTACTCAAGTCCAATCTGAAATGATATTTTCAAAGTTAAAGATTAAAAAGACATGGTTAAGAAATTCGCTTTCTGGGGAGAATTTGAAATCATACACGTGGCCATCAATAAAAAAGGAATTGTTATTGGAAACATAAGAAATTATTAGCATATTAGCACGATCATCTCATGAACATAAAAGATGGCTTTTAATATAGTGGACTTTAGAACTACCTGTTAATGTTTTTGGTTTGGTTTTTGTTTTACGGTATATCAACCTCAATGGGTCATTTAATGCCGACAAATTATTTTTCCTGGTAATATTTTTGTTTTGTCAAAAATCTATTTCTGGGAATACATTTTCTTTAAAATTGTATTGCTGGTAATATATTTTTTTCAAAAACGTATTGCTGGAAATAGATTTTTTTTTTCTTCAAAATTTATTTCTGGTAATAATTTTTTACAAAGTATTTCTGGTATTAAAACCTATTTTTACACTTTCATAATGCTTTTTACCTTAGTTTCGGGATTAATTATTTGCTCATAGCTGGGACCCTAGCAGGTGCTACCACCCCGGAACATCAGCAATTAAGAGGTGGTTCCACGCTCCTCAAAGCCTCCTGATCAGAGGCCTTGCTGTTGGACGTAGTTTATCGTTTTACTCTGGACGCGAATGTAGTTTATCGTCCTATCCAGGACGCGGGTGATGTTTATCGCCTTACCCAACGCGGATGTAGTTTATCGATCATACCCAGGACGCGGATGATGTTTATCGTCTTACCTAGGACGCGGATGTAGTTTATCGCCTTACCCAGGACGCGGACGATGTTTATCGTCTTACCTAGGACGCAGATGTAGTTTATCGTCATACCCAGGACGGTCCTGTTAATATGTAAATTATGCAGTAAATTTGGGTAAAGCTAAAAAATGGAGTCGATATAATCTTTTTCACTTCATGTCAACGTAGAATGTCAGGCAGATAAGTCGCGGCGAGTCACTCTCAAGGAGGTTAGCATTGGCCATGCTAATAGGAGGCAGGAAGTGATTTTTCAGGTGATATGCAGAGAGAAATTTCGTTTTGGGAGTGTTAACAAGCCACTCTTTGTCCCAGTTAGCAGCAGATTGTAGGTCATTTTGGGACCAGCGGCCAATTTGACCTTATCGAACTGACCAAATTTACTATCGAGATAAGAGTAAATGGTTGTCATCAGGATAGATATCAAGTTGAGAATTGAATATTACACACACACACACACACACACATATATATATATATATATATATATATATATATAAATTCGAATAGGATAGAATCCAGATAAAACTCAATGTAGTGATGAATATGTAATAAATTATAACCATAGAATATTAGTGTTTGAACCTTTTACATATATATTATATATATATATATATATATATATATATATATATATATATATATATATATATATATCGTAGGTTATAAAAAGTCTGTTTCAGAGATAAATCGTAGGTAACTATAAAAAGTCTATTTATATAATATATATATATATATATATATATATATATATATATATATATATATATATATATAGTGAGTAATTGTTTTGGTCTGCATGTAAAAAATCTATAATAAATAATTGTTGCTCTACTATTGGTATTGAGCCCTCTTTTGAATTAATGCTGTGAACGATAGAATTTTTATTATTTTCGTTAGGATGGAATCATATGAAAAAAACTACTGGCTAAATGGCAAAAGTTGATTTTGGACCTAGTTTGTCGCGGATTTCGTCAACTTAACTGAAATAATCTAAGCCAAACATTCACGCAAGACGATTTGTGTAACATGTAATTTACATGGCAAATTTAGAAAGCATCGGATGAAAAACCAGGGAGTTGTGGATGAAAAACGAGTTTTTTTTTAGCAGTTTTTCGTGGTTTTTCGTCATACGCGGGTAAGCGAGCAAGAAGAAAAACATTACTATCTTATTTCTTGCATGATGGCAGTTTTTTGCGATATATTTGAAGAAAAACGGATAAAAAAATGAGAATTTTATTCAAGTTTTTATTTTCAGAAGTACAAAAAACCTGATTTTTTTCACAATTTTTTGCAATTTTTTATGTGAAGCCAATGTCGCAGGAAAACTATCAAGTACTAGCAAAACATGAGCTATGTTTTGCTTTAACAGCAAAGAATATCAGCTCATCCAGTAACAATTTTGTTCACGTGTCATTTTGCCTTGGTTTTTGCAAAAAGTCATACCCAACTTCAGTTTTATCGATTTATCTACAAAACCCGGGAATGTCGGGGGCTGGAAATTGAAAAGTTTGTCGTGAACTAATTTGGTAAATTTGCAACGTGGATACGATTTCATCGAATTCAGTCGAGAAAAGTGTAGACGTGCATAAATATACACACACAGACAGGCAAACACAGACAGACACACACAGACATCTTCTGTTTTATAGATATAGATATAGATATATATATACAGAGATAGATAGAGAAAGCGAGGGAGAGAGAGATATAAACAGTCTCAGGTAGATAGATGATAGGTAAGTGTGGAGTTTGTAGCTTTGTGACATAAATTTGAAATTTTGATATGAAAGAATGTTGCTTTCGCTTTTAACTTTTAATTGGCTATCATCTGAAAACTGTGACATTTTGCGTCTATCGCGTCGGAAGAATCAAGAGAGACCTTCGCTATTAGCGAAGTAAATAAAAACCTTAAAAACAAGCTTTTAGTTTTCCTTTCAAGCTAATGTCAAACCTGTCTTTTCCCATTCAGCTTGTCAAAAAATGTGCAGAGAAACAGAGACGACATCCGACGCGCCCGCTATCAAGTCCAGCAGGGTGGACGAAAACTTGAAGACATGGCTTAAATATACGTGTAATCATATGACCAGTGTATTAAAGTAAAGATATGACTTGAACTTGATTAATTTCGCAATGAATAGCTAAAGCATAGTTAAGATATGACTTAAATATTAGAGCAAGAACATGGCCTGACTATGATAGCAAAGATTATAGTTAAAGTATCAGACAAAGGTATTACAGATTCAATATTATAGCAAGGGTGTGCCTTAAGTATTAACGTAGAGAACCCCCCCCAAAAAAAAAATTATGAATATCTGTCTATATTTCTGAGATAAGGTATATGTAATTATTTACACTATTTACATTGTTCGAACTGTTGTCCTCATCTTCGTTGCCATATTCACGACGTTTAGACCGTTGGACGCTCCGGCCTTCTTCTATATCTGTCTATATTTCTGTGATGAGGTATTGTAATTATTTACACTATTTACATTGTTCGGACTGTTGTCCTCATCTTCGTTGCCATATTCACGACGTTTAGACCGTTGTACGCTCCGGCCTTCTTCTATATCTGTCTATATTTCTGTGATGAGGTATTGTAATTATTTACACTATTTACATTGTTCGGACTGTTGTCCTCATCTTCGTTGCCATATTCACGACGTTTAGACCGTTGTACGCTACGGCCTTCTTCTATATCTGTCTATATTTCTGAAATGAGGTATTGTAATTATTTACACTATTTACATTGTCCGGACTGTTTTCCTCATCTTTGTTGTCATATTCACGTTTCGGCTTTCTTCGGGTGATTGGAATTTCGAACCGAACCTTTTGTTTAGTCCAGTTCTAGTTCTAGTTTCACGTGCCATGCCTCTTCCGAATATCTCAGTTTCAGCTATTTCCCTTTAACTCAACTCTTCAACTTTTTGTTCATAACTCTTTGGGTCAAGTCAAGCATTAGAATACCCGCTTATTCCAGTTTATTGGGACTGCTGTATATGGCAGCAACCCCAGTAAACTAGAATAGGCGGGTACAAGAGGAGGACCACAACACTCAGAAAACAGTCTGCCTGCCCTTATGTGGAGGGGTTATCAGAGAAAATATGAAGGATCTTCGGTTCATATGACATCATGACAACCTTCAAAAACTGGACGATACTTCGCAGACATCTCTCCCGCGTAAGATCGCCCCACCCTATAGAGGATAACATGACTAAAGACTGTATGAACGCCATCCCGTGTAGCTGCGGAAAGAAATATAAAGGGGAAACAGGCCGCCCCCTTAAGGTAAGTGTTCAAGAACACCAAAAAGCTGTAACACGAGGGGAAGTGGAAAAATCAGGCGTGGCTGACCACATATGGAGAGAAAAGGGAGATCACCGTCCTCTGTGGGATCAGGTTGAGATCATAGACAAAGAACATCATTGGAAAACTCGTAATCTTAAAAAATCAGCACATATGCGAGGCCACAAAAATCTCCTGAGCCGATCAAGCATAGAAATGAATACAATATGGGAACCAGTAATAAGGAGTGCCAGAGAAAAGCGATAATAACAACGAAAATTGCAATATGAACTCTGGTAAAAGAACATGCAACGATAACAGCAAAAATTGCAATATGAGCACAGGTAAAAATGGTTGCTGAAGACATTAGGTTTATAATACCCAGAAATTCACGCACAGATGTCCTCAAGGACACATGGCACAGTGGATAAAGGTATTAGTTAGATCCAATGACAGGACCCAAACAGTGTGAGTTCAATACCTGGTTAAGGCGTTGGAGAACTTGGAGAGAACAGGAGGTAACTGATAACTGACATCCATTAGACATGTCACGTGGAACCAGTGAGCGAAATAAAGGGTTCAGTTCAAACCATATGAAACGCTGTGATAAATATGGCAACAAAGATGAGGACAATAGTCCGAATAATGTAAATAGTGCAAAATTAAGATATAAATATTAAAGCAAGGATATATATATATATATATATATATTCACATTGTTTTTTATCTCCTTTACTAATAGGAGTAGATAGTTTCGCCTATCGTCCGGTTCACAATCCTTCCAGGTCTTTTGAACAGTAGTAGAGGCCCATCCCTTGTTTTCTGTTTAGGATTGATTTCTGTTCCCTTCCAAAATCTAATTCCACACTATACTTCTAAGGTTTTCAAATGAACTTGAAGTGTCTTCTAAAATCTGCTTCGGGTCTATATTCCTAACGTTTGTTATTTCCTACGCTAATATATGTTCATATAATAACCCTCTACTTTGAGTGGCACTTGGGTCTTGTATTGGGTGGACATTAGTAAAACAAAAAAGTAATTGTAGCGGACCGTGGTGGTGATGAGTATGTAGAAGAACACATGTGGGTTAAAATTTCCTGCTAGCTGGTCCAACTACATGAGAATGTTGAAGTTTAATTAAGTCCAAAGAAGGCAAAGAAAAACAAACACAAGACCGATAAATATATGTAAACAAATATATGTATTAATAACAAGAAAGGTTACAAATTACATGGACAGTTACATGGACAGAGTGCGTGTGGTGAATATTATGTGTGTGTGTTGTGGTGAGTGTGCGTACGTACGTGTATTGTTCTTAGCGTGTTCCCAGAATTTGGGAAACGCTGTATCTGTGAGAGCTCACATCTGCGAGGTGGTATACGGCCAAAGGACTGAGGAAAAAAGAGATCGATGCGAAGGGTCAGCCAGTATTTATAGCCAGGGGAGAGAGACCCCTGGTGAAGGGTTAAGGAGCTGAGGAGGAGCATAATCTATATATCTACCTATCTATCCCATCTGTTTTCCCCTAGCTATCGGTTAAATAGTAGGGCACCTGTCTAAACAAAATAATTGTTATTCTTTAAAAGATTTTACCACAATATTCACTCGCAAAAAAATATTTATTCTTACAATCCAAAATACGTTTCGGCTTTAGATAACCAGCAAAGGGTTGATAAACCGTAAAAAACAATAAATCAACTTTCTTTTCACTATTCTTTTCTTGTTCTTTCAGCCATTTTATTTCTCGACCGGAAGTTCTTCACTTGTGTTCTTTGTCATTTATATGCTTTGATATCCTTCCGTCTTTTGATAGAAGAAAATTTTTGATTCACTTACAACACTACATAGATAAAAAAAAACCCCAAAAAACAGGAAACTAACGAATTAAGGTTCTAGTCAAGAACAGACATGACCGAATTGCAACATTTCAGCCTTATTTATCTTTGATTTTTAATTTGCCGCTCGCGTGGGGAAAAAAAGCTACAGAATTCTTTAAAAGTGAGCTGCCTTTGACGAAGTCGACCACATGGAAAGACAACATTAACTTAATTTTTTATTTTCACTGGCGAATGCCGAAATGAGTGTCGTTTTCATCTTGGATTCATTAGGATCTGAAAAGCCGCACTAATTTCAATGTTTTAGTGAAAGCAAGAGTTTTCGGACAAAAGGCGATCAATATTTAATGAGGTAAATAGTGAATAGTGTACAGAATTGCAAAATGAAAGATTTCAAAATATATGCAATGACTTATCTGAATGTTCTTTTATTTAACATCTTTACGTATCTACACTATCTCTGTATTTAATTAGCAGGGTTTCATTATCTATCTAGCTTCTTAGATAGATAGATAGATAGATAGATAGATAGATATGTATCTGTCACAGTCTTTTCATATCTATCTATTATCTATCTATCTATCTATCTATCTATCTCAGTCTTCTCTATTATCTATCTATCTATCTATCTATCATGTCTTCTCATTGACAATTTTTTCCTATCTATCTAGCTAGCTTCTATCTATGTTCTTTGTCAGTCTCTGCATATCTATCTATCTACCTATCTATCTATCTATCTTCTATTTTCCATATGTCAGCATTTTCATTTCTATCTACCTATCTATGGTAGTTTTTCATATCTATCTATCTATCTATCTATCTATCTATCTATCTATCTATCTATCTATCTACTTTATTTTAGAAGTATGAAACCCTAAAATAGACGCGGACAGATAAAGTGAAAATAAACACGCTAAAATGTAAACAATTTACATTTAAAATTCATACCATATAAAATAAATGAAGAGTTTTGGCTAAATTGTGTCTTATCTAACCTACACACGAATCTATCTATCTATCATCTATTGGAGACAACATAAATATCTATCTATCTCTGATATTTCTACAATCTTAAACTCTTGAGTCTAAGCTTGATTTATTTTAGCTATATTTAACATCTCTTGGAGACAACATCCAAAAATCAGACTCTATGGACAGATCTCTGATATTTCTACAATCTTAAACCCTTGAGTCTAAGCTGAAAATGTCGGAAACTATTTAACATCTCTTGGAGAAAATTCAATAAATCCATATAAAATAAATAAACCCTTGAAGATGGAACCTTTAGGAAGATGGGAGCTAGATTTAACATCTCTTGGAGGCAACATCCAATTAAATCACAGCTCTATGGACACATCTCTGATATTTCTACAATCTTAAACCCTTGAGTCTAAGCTTGATGGAACCTACACTAGGAAGATGGGAGCTAGATTTAACATCTCTTGGAGACAACATCCAATTAAATCACAGCTCTATGGACACATCTCTGATATTGGCCACAATCTTAAACCCTTGATAGCTTTGGAACCTACACTAGGAAGATGGGAGCTAGATTTAAATCTCTTGGAGGCAACATCCAATTAAATCACAGCTCTATGGACACATGGAACCTTAAACCCTTGAGAATGTGGGAGCTATATTTAACATCTCTTGGAGACAACATCCAACTAAATCACAGCTCTATGGACACATCTCTGATATTTCTACAATCTTAAACCCTTGAGTCTAAGCTTGATGGAACCTACACTAGGAAGATGGGAGCTAGATTTAACATCTCTTGGACATCCAACATCCAACTAAATCTTAAACAGCTCTGATGGACACATAGGAAGATGGGATAGATTTAACATTCTGGAGACAAATCAATTAAAACCCTATGGACCAAGTCTGATATTTCTACAATGGAACCTGAGTCTAACTATGGGAAGATGGGAGCTAGATTTAACATCTCTTGGAGACAACATCCAATTAAATCACAGCTCTATGGACCAATCTCTGATATTTCTACAATCTTAAACCCTTGAGTTTAAACTTGATGGAACCTACACTCGGATGGTGGGAGCTATACTCAACATGCAACTAAATCATAGCACTAGTTAATAACTTCTTTTTTCTAGAATTTTTAAAAATTTGTGTCAGCAGAACCTTTTTTTTTTTCTTTTTTTTTTTTTCCAAAATAAAAGTTTATGTCATTTATCTGGTTTGGTTTTTAAAACAAGCAGTTTTTAAATTTATGTGGAGAAATATCGCTACTTATTTGTTCCGGAAATTAGTAAAACGAGTTTTCGGTAAAGTAATCGGCCATGATTTGGTGAGGACATACAAGAGTAATCAATGAAAAGAGGAAAATAAAGAGAAAAAAGTCGGGGACCATTGGTCTAACCTGATTCTTAAAAAGAGAGTGTCGCAGGAAATGTCAGGTACTTCCTGGAGCACAGAAACGCGCGACTTACCCTCAATGTTCTGAGAATCATACACACTAAGTACTAACTAGTTGGGTTAACAGTGTGTCAATTATCGCAATTGATGACTACATTCATCTCGTACTTTTGTCAGATAAAATTGCAGTCAATGTTTAGCGAGACAAAGTCACATGACTTTCTGTTTAAACTTCCACCTGAAAAGCATTCTCTAGGAAGTCATTAGCGATGCGTATCTGCATCCTGTGTTAAAAAAAAGAAAAGAAAAAAAGACAGTTATGTAATGTCTGGTGAGGGACAAGGGAGAAAGAAGAGAAGGAAAAGGATGTTGTTATTGGACGAATTTTAATCTGTGGTGCCGTCGCGTGCGTTGTCAAATGGTAAAAGTCAAAGAAGTCGTCTTTTGCGTATGTTCATGGCGGTCATCTTGACATCTAAGCAAAAATAGACTCTGAGAAGAAACGCTGATGTTTTGTTTTTTTTTTGTTTTTTTTTTAATGAATGACGTAGTTTAATATACTACAAATTGTTATAACTGGCAAATTAATTTCCGAAGGTCAATAGAAAAGAAGAGAAAAAAAACATTTACTTTATCAAATAGATATTTATTTTTCAGCATAATCTACTTCACATTTCCCATGATTTACAGTCGGGCTATACTCTTCGTCTTGTTATTACCATAACGTTTCAACCGTTGTACCCTCCGAACTTCGTCAGGCGTATCCCGATAACCTTCAGAGAATTTCGAACTGAACCCTTTATTTAATCTATGAAAATAGAGTGTTCTCGTTTCGCTGTTCATGTCTCTGTATATTTCGTCTTGTTCTTTTTTATTCACATATTATAAAGCCCAAGAGCCACTCGAGGTAGAGAATTAATGAATGAGATTATTTTATGGTTATTGAAATAGCGATAGAGTAGAGAAGCTTAACTGTAAATGTCTGAACTGGTGGAACAAAGGAATGTAGCTTGCCTGAACATTTGCCATGGAAATAGCGATAGAGTAGAGAGAGGCTTAACTATAAAGGTCTGAACTGGTGGAAATAAGGAATGTAGCTCGTCTGAACATTTTCCAGGGTGGTAGCACCTTTTAGGGTTCCAGCTATAGGCTAATACTGAACTATCCAACTGTGGTCAAAGCATGAAAATATCAGAAAAAATACCAACAATACATTTTCATAGTAAAAAAAAATCAAATCAAGCCTAAAGCATAACATGTGTTCTGGCGCAAACACGACGCCTGAGTTCGGCGTCGACGTTGCTTGGGTTGTCGAGGAGAACCCCAGCAATAGCCTAAGGAAAATCGCCAAGGATATCAGTGCCAGCAGGTGAACAAACGGGCGTATTGTCAAAGAGGACTTGAATTATATATTTTATGGGCTCAAGAGGCACCATTTTCTCATCGTACCACTGGTCGCCCGATTTATGCTTTCTCTCATTGCCAGATTGCAATTCTCACGACTATTTTGCGTGGGACATCTTGGTGTGAGAGCCAAACAGCAGGCACTACAACACAAACGAGGCCTTCAAGAGAAATGTCACGGCTAACATGGATAGGGGATTCATTTCTAAGGCCAGCTCCAGCTTCCTATCCTGCCTAAAGAAAGTGCTGAACGCTAATGGTGGTCAAATCGAGTGATTTTTTTTACCGTATAGAAGTGCCTAACTGCTTGTAGATTCATTGAAATATATTAATTTGTTATATAAAAAAAGCCATGTTTTATTATCCATTAATTGTTTGCGGATTTACCCGGGCCGCACAGTAGACAACTTACTGATTCCGGGAATCATTCTTTTCCTAGCCCTGCTCCAGGTTCTGGAACCGCATGGAGAAAGTGTTAACCGCCGATGGTGGCCACAAAAAGTTATTTTTTTACCTTATATATGAGTCTGAGTACAAAGTTTCATTGAAATATATTAATTTGCTATATAAAAAAGAATGTTTCCGAATTTAATTCCTCCACATTCCGTGAATCGGTCTTTTCTTCAGTAAAGTCTTGGGATTATCAAATTCTTCAAACCCTGTTTCTATATTATGTGTTCCTAAAGTAATTTCATTTTTATTTTAGATTTACTTTTGTTTTTTCTTTCTCTTAGTCAATTATTCTTATTTTATTTACCGTGTCTCTTTATGATGAGGGTCGATCAGGATTCTCCATATACATATATATATATGTGTGTGTGTGTGTGTGTGTGTGTGCGTGTGTGTTGGTGTGTGTGCGTGTGTGTTGATTCGTTACTATTATTGCTCTTAAAGTAATAAGTCAAATTGATACATTTGATAACGAACTGTTCATTCTGACATCCAGAGTAAAATATATATGGACGTTCCTTGTGATAGTAGAGGGCTTACTTGTCCCAGTATTCCAAGTGCGAAGCCGTCTGGAGTTCCAACTCCTGTAGTGCCATCCATGGCGGTAAGGTCGAAGAGGAAGAACCAGACTGAAAGAGACCAACCCCCGAAGACCCCAAACGGCGGAATAGACACAATCTACACAATCTCAGCAGTCAAACCAGCGGAAGAGAGCATCACCAGTTGAGTTGGTATAAAACCAAGAGGAACCTTGACTGACGAAGCATCCGACAGCCGGATAAAATCAGGTTTGGCAGGTCTTGTCTGTCTCCAACTCCTTTTAAGCCGCGAGGGGGGGGGGGCGCTTTTAGCCAGGTCCGTGGGCTTCTCCGTCGCGCAGAGGTGTCCACCAAAACCAAATTCAAGCGAATGGCCTCGTCAAACTCTCTTTGATTCACATCCTTCTCCGCCACCCTCACCAGGGAGAGTGGGGGAGAAAGAGAATAAGGAGAGAGAATGACGATCCTGATGATCCGATGCGAAAGGGTGCTGACAAATACATATGTGGCAACAAGAAAGTTACAGACAGATGTAATGTTTCCACTTACTTTGTGGAACAGGCTCCCGATTACCACAAGGCTAACCTCTTCAGGGAGGCACCATGGAGTAATTCCGATCGAATCCATTACATTCACTTACATGCTAATACCCTTGGGAAAGGTATGATTCTTCTAGATTTTCTCGGAGGAGTAATGGATAGCGGCTCAGATTGAGGAATCGAGGAGCCGAGTTCGAATTCCAGTCGAATCCTTTAAATTCACTAACGTGCTAATACCCTTGGGAAAGGTATGAATCCTCTTCTAGATTCTAGAGGGTCGGATTGAGGAATCGGAGAGCCGAGTTCGAATTCCAGTCGAATCCATTACATTCACTTACGTGCTAATACCCTTGGGAAATGTATGAATCCTCTTCTTCTCCTCCCAGCTATGGGTAAATAGCAGGACAGACCGGGTTCTATACCCCTGGATGGCAACTGGTCTACCGTAGAAAGAAATGGCAACATACTGCGGTTAAAATCTGCCTCGTCAGTCATGTATCAAAGGATACATGATCTCCTAAGCGTGTATCATACATAGCACATAACTGACTGGACCTCTTCAAGTCTAGGCTAATCCGTTACTCCGTCCCAAATAGCCTAAAAACAACACTTCTTATCGTCTAGTCGTCTCTGCAGCTTCCCTATTCTTTGTTGCAATGCTTCTCCCTTTTTCAAAACACACGTAACCTTTCTATTATCCAGTCACACGTGCTCTTCAGGTAATTTGCCTTCTCTTGTCCCCAATCTTTACCCTTTATATATCTTGCGTGTGTTAAGTTTACCAAGTCTTACTTCTTCCTCAAGTGTCCAATGAATTTTAGCCGTCAATTTCTGATTCTGATTATAAGTAATTAATTGATTTGTGCGTTTAAAGGCATATCAACTCCTTATGGGTTATTTAATGTCGAATTTTAATTTTCTTAGGAAATTTTAAGTAATAAAAATATGACATGGTATTTATTCTACTTTCACAATTGAATACATGGTAGATGGTACTCAGATTTTGTGCATATACATGTTTGTGTGGACATAATTACTAAAGGCGGTGATATATGTGTTTAATGTTGTAGTTTTGTTATTCTGCTTTCACAATTGAATACATGGTAGATGATACTCAGCTTTTGTGGATATACATGTTTGTGTGGACATAATTACTAGAGGCGGTGATATGTGTGTTTTATGTGGTAGTAATATTTTGAAATACAGTTTGATTTTTTTTAAATTGTAAGATATTATATGGATTAAAACCATGAAAGATTTTTTCATGTTGTCGATTTTGTGGCATATCAACATCTCTATGGGTTATTTAATGTCGAAATCTAAATATTTTGAACACACTTTTATGGCTTCAATTAAATATATTTTAAACGCAATTGTATTAACTAAAGGTAAAATGCTTTAAATGTGTATCGTTGATAGTTTTACTACGATTTGTTGGTTGGCTGATTTTGTTTAGCGGCATATTAAACTCTGTGTTATTTATATATATATATATATATATATATATATATGAAAGGCAGGATGTGTGTGTGTGTGTGTGTGTGTGTGTGTGTGTGTGTGTGTGTGTGTGTGTGAATGTGACGAATGCACGGCCGCAATTTTCGACGGATGTGCACCAAAATTTACATCCACATGCTCCAAGTTAGCGAGGAAGGCCAAGACAGACTTTGCATCTCTCAACTCCCATCGATGGTGGAAATAATCGATTTTTCATGCTTCTACGGCGGTTTTCATGTAGTTTGCGGCCAGAGTGAGAGCCTATAGCTGGCTGCCACGAATAGGCAGGAAGATTCTATTGGCCAGCGTGAGAGCCAACAGCTGACTGGCACGAATGTTAACTAGCATGCTAGCATGCAACAAAATCGATAGCTGCATTCGTTAAAAGTGGGAAAAATTTAAATCTGCATGGCACTTTACTCCAATTGGCTCATTGGCTTGCTTTAAACTCAACGTTGATTCTGATTCCGCAGAACTGGGTTGGGTGTGAAAAAAAGTATTTGTTGTTAACATTCTTTTTTTCATTCGGTTTTTCCAGTTACGAGTCCTTTTTAAAGCTGATCGTTTTGTGTTCATTTTGTTTAGTTCTTTTTTTCGTAACAGATTTAATGTTTAGTATAGAGCTTAGAAAAAATTCGCAGTGTGAGATAGGCAAGAAGTAAGGCATGTAGCAACATCAGCACGGCAAAGGGCACTCCTTTAAAGGCAAAAAAAAAAAAAAAAAAAAGGCAAGGAAGGGCAAAAATATTTTAAATCAAGTGATAGCGATTGCTGTATGAGTCGTACGATTTTCGAATAAAAGCATAGGCAACGCCGGGCCCATATATATATATATATATATATATATATATATATATATATATATATATATATATATTGAACACTATTTTATGGCTTCAATTATATTTTGAAAACAATTGTATATCTTCAATTTGGTTGGTTGATTGTTCTACTGCCACATGGCCCAGTGGTTAAAGACTTGCGTAGGTCCAATGACTAGACACAAAGTGTTGCAATACCAGGCCACAGCAGTGGTGAACCAAAAACTTGGAGAGTTGAGTTAAAGGGAAATAACTGAGACATCCGGAAGAAGTGGAATTAGAACAATCTAAAGCGGTGGACGAAATAAAGGGTCCGGTTAGAAATTCCAATCACCTGAAGAAGATCAGAGCGTACAACGGCTGAAACGTTGTGAATATAGCAATGAAGATGAGGATAACAGTCCGAATAATGTAAATAATGTAAGTAATCATAAAACTTCATCTCAGAGATATGGACAGATATTGAAGGCATGGCACGTTGAACTAGAACAATCTAAACCGGTGGACGAAATAAAGGGTTCGGTTCAAGCTTTCAGTTACCTTAAGAAGCCCGGAACGTACAACGGCCGAAACTTTGTGATTATGTCAATGAAGTTGAGGATAACAGTCCGAATAATGTCAATAATGTAAGTAATTATAATACCTCATCTCAGAGATATAGATATATATTGTTGGTAATTTTACTATAAAAGCTTATTTTATTTATTTTTTATTGCTATTTTGCTGTTAAAATGTATTTTGTTGTTTGTGTTATTATAAAAAGGTACTGTTTCTTTTTGTTTTGGAATGCAGTCATTGGCCATAGCTGTAAAATCTAACCGCTGCTAGCAACCCCGATCAGGGTTGACCTTTGAACAGCAGTGATGAGGTGGTTCTACGCTCCTCAAAGCCTCCAATTTCCCAATCAGAGGCCTTGCTGCCGGATGTAGTTTATCGTCAAAACCAGGACGTCTCTGTTCTTTTTGCTACCTTTTTACTCTTACGTACACAAAAGAAAATCATTCTTCTAGCTTGAGAGGCCCCTGTTGCTTGTATTGGTTTAATACTTAGCTTTTACAAAAAAAGTATGTATAGGTATTTACTAAACTTTGCTACAAGTTATAATAATGGGGCACCCAATGAGGCTCGAATTCCTAACGGTATTTTTTTTATATATGCAAAGCACTGCTCAACGTTGAATCATAACTTCTTAGTCCGGCATAAGGCCATCATAATGGGTGATCTATTGATCATCGTATTCACTATAGTAATTGATGTTCTACATGAGCTTGTCAACTATAGTGCTACTATTGGTTCCCCTTGTCAAGAGATATTAACTTTAGATGAAAAAAAAAAATGTACTGTGTTCTTAGTGTAAATGTCTGTCGACAATTATGGCTAATTAACACTGACAATGTAGATAGGAGAAGCCTATTAACATCTTAACAAATGAAATATATTTTTTTTTTTAAATACTGGTTATGTTTTTGTGATGACAGTAACGTTTGAAAGGAAAATGAAATTAGCGAAGTTTTTACACAAAGAGAAAATGATAACTAAAAAAAATCAAGAACAGCGGCAAAAGAGAGTGACAGATTTGAAAATAAAATAAAGTCGGCAAGTTAAAAGACAATCATTGAGTGATAAATGAAAAATAAAACAAAAGAAAAATGAATAATGTTGAAAGAAATTTGAATAAAAGCACTTTCTTTTTAAAGATATTACACGTCATCTGAATGTGCATACACTTTAAACAGATCATTCTGTTTGTTATACAGCGATCCATTTACCCGGGCCATCAAAGTAGATAATTCTAGTACAGAAAAAGAATACATGAAATACTGAATGTCTTGATAATGTCCGAATGAACTCTTTGGTATGGTACTTAGACTCTATCAATTAAAGCGTATTACTAGATTGGTGGCGTGGTCTCATCAATTCAAAGTTGAATTGGCTAGATGTAACCGTAAGTTCTATGCTAACAGTTTCTTCTCTTACATTTTTCGCTTGTGTGGTATTCTCTTCTGGCTCATGCTTTCCAGCCAACTTTGATCTTCAAAAATTTAAATGCAATGTCAATCGTTATCTTTTGTCCTCCTGATTACTCTTCTATTGTACTTTCTCCTTGATAATGCTTCTCTTTTTTTCTTATTCTTTCAATCAGTAATCCCTTGTGTCTTAGCGGTTTTACTGCCTTGCATGAGGTGATATAATTAAAAAAAAAAGCTTAAAAGAAGTTAAGGTTGTAGTGATAGAGGAAGCATAGTCTCAGGAGACTTTTCCAAAAAGTAGGACGAAACTCTCTGATTGGAGCTTCTTCCTTACCAATGCAATACGAAGGAAATAAGGTCGGATTGGCCCTTTGTACAAAACGTAATGTGTCATAACTGTAAAGGTGTCGACTGGTGAAACTGAGGAATATAGCTTGTCTAAACGTCTGCGATGAAAATAGCGATATAGCATCGAGAGGATAGCAAGGTTTTGTATGGGGTATGTATGGTGGAAATTTATTCATCACCCAAATGGCTGCGTAGACGCTTTGGCACTCTAAAGGCTGGGAAGAAAAGATTGAGCAGCTCCAACCCAGATATGGCAGCAATATTCCATTTTTAACCTTTAACCTAAAACCCGCCATGCTACCCACATTGTAGCTAACTACCATCATTTCATTCGTATTTCATTGGTGAGATATAAGTTCCACTTTAACAGCTTCTTACCGCGAGCTGACGCCCAAAAGGGCGTTTTCTCGATCAATACAATCTTAACCTGTTCAAGACTAAGGTTAACCGTTAAACGTTATCACAACGTTTCGACTGTTGTACGCTTCGGCCTTCTTCAGGTCGTTTTACTGTCGAACTGAACCCTGTATTTTGCTTTATCTCCTCTTGACTGATAGCTGACATTCATTAGACATGGCACATGGAACTAGAAAAGTCTACCCCAGCGAGCGAAATAAAGGGTTTAGTTTGATATTCCACCCCCCTGAAGAAGGCCGAAGCGTACAACAGACGAAACGTTGTGATAAATATGGCAACAAAGATGAGGACGATAGTCCGAACAATGTAAATAGTGTATGTAATACATCATCTCAGAAATATAGACAGATTCTTTTGTTTTTTTTCTTTTTTTTTTTTTTCATTTTTTTTTTTTCTTTTTTCTTTCTTTCTTTTTTTTCACTATTTCTTTCCTTTTTCTTTTTTTTTTTCTTTTTCTTTCTTTTTTTTCTTTTTTTTCTTTCTTCTTTTTCTTTTTTCCTTTCTTTTTCCTTTTTTTTCTTTCTTTTTTTGCTTTCTTTCTGTTCGCTTTTTTTTTTTCTTCTTTCTTTCTTTCTTCTTTTCTTTTTTCCTTTCTTTCGTTTTTTTTTTTTCTTTCTTTTTTCTTTCTTCTTTTCTTCCTTTCTTTCTTGTATTTTTCTTTCTTTCTGTTTTTCTTTCTTCCTTTCTGTTTTTCTTTTTTTTTTTTCTTTCTTTTTCTTTCTTTCTTTCTTTCTTTCTTTCTTTCCCTGAATTTCATCGGTTCTAAATCTGTTCGCGTGCGTCGATTTGCCACGCCCAGTTACACCTACCGACGCGACACGCGTGCCTTATAAAAGCGGCATAAATTAACAAGATAAAGTAAATGTAATTGTTCATTTTAGCTTATCTTTCCTGGGCTGTACATAAGGCTTCTGATATCACGGATTATCGAAAGTGCTGTACGCCTTCTTGATATTTAACTTTTTCACCTTGTAACATCTCACTGCCTATGTTTTTGACTGCATCTGTTTTTCTTTTTTTGATTTTTCTCTCGCAAATACTTATCAATTCCCGATAACATATTGCCAATAAGTTCGCTGCTAGATACAAGCATGAAATTGGTCGCTATACAAAATTGATCTTAAAATATAGATAAACACTACCAGGTACTGTAAGCTTGGATGTGCGGGTGGTGTAATGGATAACGGCTCGGAATTCTTAATCGGAGAGCCGAGTTCCAATTCCTGTTGGTTTTGTTATATTCACTTACGCGTACTCTTGGAAAAGGTATGAATCCACCTCTTCTCCCCACCTATGGGTTAATTAGTAAGACTTGTATTACTAAATCATTATTATCTCCCCCATCAAATCCTGCTATCTAAATTATTTTCTGGCTTTAAATAACCTAAAAAGGATAGAAAAGCCGCAGAAAACGAATCACTAAAAAAAGGCTTTTATAGCGATGACACTGGAGCAAATCATCCTTATTGTCTTCATATTCCAATAGTAAGGAGGAAGTTCCATACGAACAACTTCTTCAACGGAACTGTTACTGTGTTGAAAAGACTCCCGAGAGGATGCATTCCAGATTGTCAAGTCTAGGATCTACCGTTTTGTTTCTTATATATATCTTCATAATATACACTTTGCTTATTTTCACCCTTACAATGACCTCGTTCACTTAACAGTCTTGATAGATTTCAAAATCATTTACACGACCTTATGGGGACGACTTATCTCCCAGCATACAACCTCTTTCCCCACAGACAAAACCTTGCTATTCTCTCGCTACTTCCAAGGAAAATGTTCTGATAAGCTACATTCGTTATTTACACCTGTTCAGACTGTTACAGCAAAAAAAACTACCCTGCCACGTACACAGATTTGAACTATCTTCATTGGCTCCATATTCTCTTACGTAAACTCATCTATTTTCAACCTTCCGTAACGCTCTACCTTGAGTGACTCTTGGGCTTAAAAGAGTGAGATACTATAGTGATAGAATTGGACGTTGTCTCAAACAAGGGGTAGGGATAAAATTACATTTTTTTTTTTTTACATCTTACAACACATTTTATTGCCTTAGCAAGACTAAATAAAACGTATATAAAATGCGGCAAAATATGATTTTAATGCGGGTGACCAGCTTATGTCGAATGGAGTATTATTAGTTAATGATTGATTTGTGTTTTACGGCTTATCAACCTTCTACAAGTTATTTAAAGCCAGAAAGCATTTTTAGATTGTAAAAATTTCTCTGTAGATAATAATGATTTAATAATAGCATAGCTTAGGGGAGAATAGTATTCAGGCCCTTCACCGGGGTATTTGCGTGTAAATGAATATAACGACACGCGACTAGAAGTGGAACTCGGCTCTCCGATTTCAAATTCCGAGCCGTTATTCATTACACCACCTGCACACCCAAGCTTAAAGCACCTGGTATTCCTATTTAGTTAGTTTACTAGGAGCTTCATCTATGTAAAAGCTGTGTGATCTTTGATATTATTTTTTAGCGAAAATGATCAGTGGAAAATATCATGAAGCCATTTCTGATCTTAGCTCTCTAGTTGGGACCCGGAAGGAAAATGTGTATGCAACAAAAATCAACGGAAATAATAATAATAATGATAACAACAACAATAATAATAATAATAATAATGCACAAGACCAATGTTTGTTAACTAGAAATTACCAAGTACACATACTAAAATACTGTGTTAGCCCAAAATGCAGATTCTGTGATAAATATCCAGAAACAATTGATCATCTTTTATCAGGTTGCACGGTATTGGCACCCACTGAATATAAAACCCGGCATGACAGAGTGGGCCAATATCTGCACTGGAAAATCTACGGAAAGGAAAGAAAAGTGCTATCAATTAAATGACAATTCTTCTATAGGGCCTCAGAACCATAGTTTGGACCCAGTTCTACAGGATACAATATAGGAAACATAACACACAAACAATAATAATAATTATAATTATTATTATTATTATTATTATTATTGCTAACTAGAAAGTACCAAACACGCAATCTGAAAATTTGTTTTAGCCCCAAATACAGATTCTGTGATAAATTTCCAGGAACAATTAACCATCTTGCGTCAGGTTGCATGGTGTTGGCACCCACTGAATATAAAACCCGGCATGACAGAGTTGGCCAATATATGCACTGAAAAATCTGTAACTTTTACAAAAAGGAAACTGCAAGAAATTGGTATGAACACCACCCAGACCCGGTTACGGAGAAAAGAACCTGTTACAATTTTATTGAATTACACAATACACACTGACAGAACAATCAAAGCTAACCGCCCAGACATTGTTATTAAAGACCACAAATAAACAAAAAATGTGCCTCCTTATTGATATGGCAGTCCATGCAGACTGCAATGTATCTTTGAAGATCTTCAAAAAGAAATTGAATTACAAACAATATTGTACATATAACAAGAAGAGTATATTGCCTTAGCAAAATTAAATATGAAGGCAACAAAAAGAGGCAAACGAAAGTCTGTTTTATTGAAATTTCTTTATTCGTACGTTCGGTTGGTGTTTATTAAGTACTGATGATGGTAAGAAATTTACATCGAAGAATGAATTTTGTTTGGTAGTTACAGACATTTTTAAGCTGTGTTATGTACAATGCGACACGTGATTCGCTAGGGACTAAGAAGTCTCGCGAAGAGCGATCGGGCTTCCTTTTGGTAAAGATAGAGAAGGGGAAAAGAGAGTCTGTAGTTATTTCTTTTATACTGCTTATTTTGGTAACGCCATCTTGCGGGGATTAGGAATACTTTTTTTTAGAGGACAATCCCACAATATATTCCAAATGTCAATATATGTGATGTAAGCTGTAATTTACTTCCGCTTGTACAGAACTTATTGCTGATAACATCTGAAAGTGATATATTTTTTCTACCAAAACTTTGACAAGGACAAGAACTCCATTAGTTATTATGAATTTTGTGTCCTTTGAGCGATTTCATCTTCAATATAAATAATAAAAAAAAAACAATAAAATTAAATTGTTACATTGGCAACGCATGCATCACATTCTCTTGTAGGTTAACTTGTCACTTATCAAAACTTATTGCATTTAGTGTATATATCTAATCACCATATTGCAAAACAACTAAAATGTAACTAGAGAAAAAAATATTATACAGCAATCCTTTCTGATTCTGGGTAAAAGTGTATATATTTTACTTCGATTTTCCATATTATTTCCTCGTTGTTTCAACGCCTGTCAAAAGAATTCTCACTAACCTTCTGTAGAACCACATGCCTATTACCTCTAGTTTTCTCTTCATCTGCGAGGAAATTGTCTAACATTTACTGTCATAAGTAAATATTATACATCTATATCTATAATTCTCAAAATGGGTGTATGTATGTATGTGTGTGTGTGTGTGTGTGTGTGTGTGTGTGTGTGTGATCGAATGTTGTTTATGCGTTTCCACAGTTTTCATTCGATTTCGATGAATTATTTTGTTTGATAGATAATTCTTCAGTGCCGGTTTTGAGTCCAAATTATTGGCGAAAATGGCTCTCCACTACTTCCTGTCCATTATAACTCTCAGCAACGTTTTACTATCTACTATCTGTTCTTGCATATATATCTTTCATAAAAACTTTAATAAAAAAATAAATAGTTTAAATTATTACAATAATATTATTTAGTATTATACAGTTACCTTTTCAGCCCCCCTTCAAATTATTACCCCCCCCCCCCATTTGGGGATGTGCCTCAGTTGCACACAATTGTTGTTACTACTATTGATTTTCGGGTGGGCTGACTTTAAAGTTTTTAATTCCCAGTAATGAAAGACCCGGTCAGAGTTAAGCAGATATTTTTATACATACTTCTCAATATTAAAAATATTAAAATAATATTACAAGTAGAGCGTGAATAATATTATATGAAGAGATTACTTAACTTTTAGATATCAATTTTATCCCGACATCGAAGTTTCTTGGTAAAATTTCCAGTGTTTATTGTTTTTAAACATACAGTCTTCTACGATTTTAAAAACGGTTAATTCAGACATTGCTAACAAGACTCTTCTCTGTAGCTGAATGGTATAGCAGGTCAGATCAAATGACGGTTTCCGTACAGGAATGCGGATTCGATTGCTGTCGGAGAACGCATATTTTGTTCGAAAATTCTCGAACATTCAGGACGGTAAATGTCATTAATACTCTTTAATAAAAAAAAAACAGAGCAGCTACTTAAATAAATTGTATCTATAAAAATAGCGTATGAACAGAAAAATATATATATATATATATATATATATATATATATATATATATATATATATATATATAAGATGTGGTGCAGTTCAATTTATATTACAATGAATCATTCATACAAAAAAGTAGATTAGTAAAGTTAATGATATAAAACGGCGAAATCCCTTCGCAAACAAAATTTTAAAGGTGCATTAACCTACAAATCACTCGATGAATGTTATGATTCTTATTTTTTTTTAAATTACAAGCTGTATAATGTCTTTCTTTAATACGCAAGTACTTTCAACTGTACTTTCAGTCATCTTCAGGCATTTGGACAGTTTGTACACACTGTGTCCAAAAAAGAAAACATTTGTTCGAATACAGAAAAAATGAAATAAAATGCTTAATCGTAGTACCTTATCTGTCGTTTTTAATGATATATATATATATATATATATATATATATATATATATATATATATATATATATATATAGGCATAGGGTGTTCCAATTTTAGGGAATTAGTGTATTTGTCTGATCAGTTATGATTCCCTTTTCTAAAATTTGCATAAATTTTAGACAAGCTCATTTTGTGTGATAATACCAGGTG